TTTTATTCCTTCTCTTATCAAATAACTTTATCTCAAATAGCTCAGAGTCGTTAAGGACTCGAGCTCAAACTGAATAAAAATTTAACAAGCAATTCTCCCCTTTAAATGTAAAGGGTGACAATTGTTGTACCACATAACATTGCATTGCGAACAAAAAAAGGGGTGGGGGGGGGGCTCATATGCACTGACAAGTGACACTGACAAGCTGGCAATCTCCCGCTGATGGAGCTCATTGAGTTCTTTTATATGGGCCTGATGAGCCCTGTTGTTCTAGAACTTTCCACTAGTCATGATGCAACCCTTCTGGAATTTTCCTCCTGGGTCATGTGCTACTTGTGTTTTCCCCTTTCCTTCCCACTAACCTACCCATGTTATTAAATATTAAACGGAAATACGCCCATCCAAGGAAAGGATTGAGCCTAGTGCTTAATGCATTAGGCAAACATGGGGAAGAAAGTCCCCAACCCTTTTCCAAAATTCAAAAACGCAGTCACATGAAACCACATAGTACTGTCGCACCATGAAGTTTTGTGCCTCCGAAAATGCACGGTAGTTTCCGATGCAGTTGGTGTTAGAGGACATGAAGGTGGTAAAGAACAAGCGTGTTTTTGCCTGGTGTCAGGGAACATGTTTGATTTACACACATTCCCAGATGCACACAGTGAGATCCTAGCCTATATATGGCTCAAAATGATAGCTGGAGTTTGCTGGCAATAGTGGCATGGAGAACAAAGCCTAGGAGATATGCCCTAGGAAGTTTATTGAAGAGTTTTTATAGAGTCTATCTCCTAGAGCCCAAAATCTGCAGTTTCTGTTTCCAAATTTGAAATTTTGGGGTTAATTTACTAAAGGCAAATGAATTGTTTGCACTTAGCTTAGTGAATGTGGGAAGCTGTGCTGACTCCTATCAATCCCAATCACGTGCAAGCAAAAATACAATGTTTTTATTATCCTTGCACATGATATGATATTTTGTATAAAGTGCATTTTTTAAAATAACCAAATTCACAAAGCTATAGGAATAATTTCCCCTGCAAAGTGAACAGCCTATTTGCCTTTAGTAAATAAAACCACCGTTTGGATTTGGTCAGTGCCCCTCCATTTTTAATAAAGTATTACAGAATTACTTATTCTATACATAGTGCAGTAATAAATAAATAAAGGTTAATTTACAGGATAGAAATGCAGAATGCTGTAAATGAAAATTTTTAGTCAATTTGAGTCTTTTTTTGCTAGAATGTGTGTGTTAATTAGTTAATTATTGTTTTCAAGGTATTGGATGATCGGATTCCTCACCAGATGTGCTAAGTACTGTGAAAAGAAATGAATGTAGCCAACTTCAGAAGGGTTCCCAAGATGGCCATTTATGGCACTGCTCAGCCAAACTCACAAGGTGCAGTACTACTAATATCCAGTTGCAGGTTCTTATGTTTTTTTTTTTATGCTGAAAATAAAGAATTGTCATAGCTTTACTAATATAATTTTAATGGGAAAAACCTTTTTAAGCTCCCTGTAGCTCCACTGTCAACATTTTTAAAGCACAAAATCTCCTATTATTTGGTCCATATAAAGGGTCAAGCCACTATAAATTGTTGCCTGCTATATTTTTGGGACTGTTGTTGGTGAAATATCTGCTATTTTTCTGTGTCTGTATAAAAGCTTTGGCCATTTTTTTTTTAGGAAGTCTGTTTGTCCGAGTTTGGATTTTTTGGTTAACTATATTTTCTCATATTTTTCCAATTAGATTTTAAATTTCAACTTTTTTTTTTTTTTTCCGAACACCAAAAAAAGTTTGTTTTACAAACACACAAAAATCAAAAATACAAAAAAGGTTACTGTCAGGAATGGACTGGCCAGCAATGGTGGGACTCACCTGCCTTTTGATCTGCAGTACCAGGGCTGGCCAGCGGGTGCTCCCAGCAATCAGAGACTCAACCTTTCAGCCAGCTAACACCTGGAAACTGATGATTACTGGTGTATTTAAGGGATGGGCCAGACTTGCAGACTCTGCCTTTGGTGTTTGTTTGTTTGTCTGGGGGCCTGTATCTGTCCTGCATCCCCCTGTATCCTGTTCCTGCTCTCTGCCCCTCTTCCTGTCTGATTTCACTGCTGACCCTGTTCTGATCCCTGGCTTGTGACCCTGACCATCCCTCTCTGTGACCTGACCCTCTGTACCCACGCTGCTTGCTACCTGTTTCTGATCCCTGGCTTGTGACCCCTGACCATCCCTCTGCCTGACCCTCTGTACTTACGCTGCATTGCTACCTGCTGAACCTGGCCTGTGACCCGACCATCTCCGCTTGCTCCCCCTGTACCTACCTGCCCTATTGATATTGACCCGGCCCGGCCTGCCTGACGACGCTTGCTTGTTTGTACTGTTATCTGTGGGTGGTTGGTTTGGTTTGTTTGCACTGTGTTTGATGTTTTAGTATTGCACTGCGTTTATGGTTGTATTGTTTAGTGTTAATAAATTACATTGTTTATCACATATCTGAAGTCTGCGTTTCCACTGCGTCAAGTCACACATCTCTGGTCACACCTGGGATCCCTGACATTACACCAAGGACAATCCTGACCAGAAAGTGGCTGGCACAGGGAGGCCATCTTGGCTTGCCCTCCCCAACCAACCTCGCCACCAAACTTGATGGGAAGGATGGATCTGGATGAGGTTGAGTATTTATCTCTGCTAGTGCTTGATGACAGAGAGTAATGCTTATCAGACTCTGAATGGAGTATCCCCCCCCCGGAATGAACTGCTAGAATGTATACGGCTCGCTCATGTTCTAGTAGATCAGGGCACAGATTTCTCTATGGTGCAGCCATTGATTCAGGTTTGTGTTGAGTTGGTTTTCATCTGGTTCCCCCAAATGCAGGGATGAATTTTTGCCACCATTTAGTGCAGACCAGGTAGAGTCCCTGGTGTGGTTATTAGAGGATGATGTGGGTTTACTTTCTGGAGCGTTATTCCACATGTTCACCACAGACACTAAGAGATTGTATCTAAAACGCAGTGCAGTCATTGACCAGACAGGCTTTGTGTAAGCTCAGCTTTGTTCAAACCCCTACTGCAGACAGGACAGACTTGTTGCAAACAACCCAGCCTCAGTCAGCTTACAAAGACCCAGTCCTGCTTCTAACTCTACTCCTGTATTCCCAACAAGCTCCTCCAGTTACAGCCCAGTATACTTGGCTATCTACCGCATGTCAGTACCCTGTTCCCACTCGCTCTGCACCTAATCCTTGCCTTTAACCTTGTAAAAAAGCCCTCTGTAAAGCAACTGCTCCCTCATTCTGTTCCATCCTCCAGTTCTTCTCTGTCTCCAGCTGCTCCATTCGTTTTGCAGACCTGCGTTTGACTTGCAGTGCTCCAGTAGTTAAAAAAAACCCAGAAAAAAAAACGAAAATTCTTTCCAACCAATACCATCCTGCCAGTATGCAAAACCGGTGAACCTGCCTTCCGTGACTCGGCCTGGAGCCTCTACTCGGCCTGAAGCCTCTACTTCGGCCTGATGCCTCTACTACTCGGCCTGATGCCTCTACTCTACGGCCTGAAGCCTCTACTCGGCCTGAAGCCTCTACTCGGCCTAAAGCCTCTACTCGGCCTGAAGCCTCTACTCGGCCTGAAGCCTCTACTACTCGGCCTGAAGCCTCTACTCAGCGAGCCGGATGCCTCTCATTCGGCCTGAAGCCTCTACTACTCGGCCTGAAGCAAAGCCTCTACTCGGCCTGAAGCCTCTACTATACTCGGCCGGACGCCGGCATTCAGCCTGATGCCTCTAACCCAGCATAATGAACTGATCCAGCCTGACGATCCTATTAGGCCAGTTTGACTCGATGCCCCTGCTGTTGATCCAGATGATCCGGTGCCCGCTGTCGTGCCAATTGACTCAGAGCCCGCTGTCGTACCTGGTGACTCGGTGCCCACTCACTGCCTTGCCAGATGAACACGGTGCCCGCTGGGTCGAGCCAAATGACCTGATGCCTGGTGACCCAGTGCCCACTGTCATACCTGGTGACCCGATGCCCGCAGTCGAGCCAGAACGATCCAATGCCTGGTGACCCGGTGCCCGCTGTGTCAAGCCAGACACAATCCGGTACCTGATGACCCGGTGCCCACTGTCGTGCCTGTTGACTCGGAGCCCACTGCCATTGCCAGATGACGCGGTGCCCGCTGTCGAGCCAAATGACCTGATGCCTGGTGACCCATGCCCGCGCTGTCCAGTCAGACGATCCAATGTCTGAACCCAGTGCCCCCGCGGTCATACCAGTTGACTCGGAGTCCCACTGCCTTGCCAGATGACGCGGTGCCCGCTGTCGAGCCAAATGACCTAATGCCTGGTGACCCAGTGCCCGCTGTCATAACTGGTGACCCGATGCCCGCTGTCGAGCCAGACAATCCGGTACCTGATGACCCGGTGCCCACTGTCGTGCCTGTTGACTCGGAGCCCACTACCTTGAGGCCAGATGACGCGGTGCCCGCTGTCGAGCCAAATGACCTGATGCCTGGTGACCCGATGCCCGCTGTCCCGGCCAGACGATTCAATGTCTGCCCCAGTGCCCGCGGTCATGCCAGTTGACTCAGAGCCCACTGCCTTGCCAGATGATGCGGTGCTGCCTCGCTGTCGAGCCAAATGACTTGATGCCTGGTGACCCCCCCCCCGATGCCCCGCTGTCCAGTCAGACGATCCAATGTCTGACCCAGTGCCCGCGGTCATACCAGTTGACTCGGAGCCCACTGTCTTGCCAGATGACGCGGTGCCCGCGGTCGAGCCAAATGACCTGATGCCTGGTGACCCGATGCCCGCTGTTCCAGCCAGACAAAGATCCAATGTCTGACCCAGTGCCAGCGGTCATGCCAGTTGACTCGGAGCCCACTGTCGTTGCCTGGTGACTCGGCCCCCCGCCGCTCCGCCTGAGGGCCCGAGACCTGTCGCTCCACCTGGGGGTCCGGCGCCCCCGCCGCTCCGCCTGAGGGCCCGAGACCTGTCGCTCCATCTGGGGGTCCGGCGCCCACCGCTCCCGCCTGGGGGCCCGAGACCTGTCCTGCTCCGCCCCTGAGGGCCCGAGAGTACCTGTCGCTCCCGCCTGGGGGTCCTGCGCCCGGCACTCATTACACCCCGCCTGAGGGCCCGAGACCTTCGCTCCATGCTCCACCTGGGGGTCCCGGCGCCCGCCGCTCCGACTGAAGGCCCGAGACCTGTCGCTGCCGCCTGGGGGTCCGGCGCCCGCCGCTCCGCCTGAGGGCCCGAGACCTGTCGCATCCGCCTGGGGGTCCAGCGCCCGCCGCTCCGCCTGAGGGCCCGAGACCTGTCGCTCCGCCTGGGGGTCCGGCGCCCGCCGCCCCGCCTGGGGCCCAATGCCTGTCGCCCCGCCTGGGGGCCCGATGCCCCTGTCGGTGCTGTCGCCCCGCCCGGGGGCTCGGCCTGCCGGCCTGTCGCCCCGCCCGGGGGCCGGTGCCTGTCGCCCCGCCCGGGGGCCCGGTGCCTGTCGCCCCGCCCGGGGCCCCCCGGTGGCCTGTCCGCCCGCCCCGCCTGGTGGCCCTCTGCCTGCTGCTTCGCCTGGTAATCCGATGTGCCTCTGCCCGGAGTCCTGTCCGATGTGCCTCTGCCCGGAGTCCTGTCCGATGTGCCTCTGCCGCGGAGTCCTGCCCGATGTGCCTCTGCCCGGAGTCCTGCCCGATGTGCCCCTCTGCCCGATGTGCCCTCTGCCCGATGTGCCTCTGCCCGGAGTCCTGCCCGATGTGCCTCTGCCCCCGGAGTCCTGCCCGATGTGCCTCTGCCCCGTAGTCCTGCCCGATGTGCCTCTGCCCGGAGTCCTGCCCGATGTGCCTCTGCCCGGTGTGCCTCTGGCCCGGTGTGCCTCTGCCCGGAGTCCAGCCCGGTGTGCCGCTGCCCGGAGTCTCTGCCTCGGTGTGCCAGTCTTTTGATATCCCGCCAGTTACCAGAGACCCCGGGCGGTGGAACATTTTGCCCAGCTAGGACTGTTTGGAGCGTCCTGAGGCCGCTCCTTGAGGGGGGGGTACTGTCAGGAATGGACTGGCCAGCAATGGTGGGACTCACCTGCCTTTTGATCTGCAGTACCAGGGCTGGCCAGCGGGTGCTCCCAGCAAATCAGAGACTCAACCTTTCAGCCAGCTAACACCTGGAACTGATGATACTGGTGTATTTAAGGGATGGCCAGACTTGCAGACTCTGCCTTGGTGTTTGTGTGTTTGTCCTGGGCCCTGTATCTGTCCTGCATCCTGTATATCCTGTTCCTGCTCTCTGTTCCTGTCTGATTCTCTGCTGACCCTGTTCTGATCCCTGGCTTGTGACCCTGACCATCCCTCTGCCTGACCCCTGTACCACGCTGCTTGCTACCTGTTCTGATCCCTGGCTTTGGGTGACCCCTGACCATCCCTCTTGCCTGACCCTCTGTACTACGCTGCTTGCTACCGCTGCTGAACCCTGGCCTGTGACCCCACCGACCATCTCCGCTTGCTCCCCCCTGTACCTACCTGCCCTATTGATATTGACGGCGGCCTGCCTGACGACGCTTGCTTGTTTGTACTGTTATCTGTGGGTGGTTGGTTTTGGTTTGTTTGCACTGGTGTTATGTTTTAGTATTGCACTGCGTTTATGGTTTGTATTTGGTTAGTGTTAATAAAATTACATTGTTTATCACATATCTGAAGTCTGCGTTTCCCTGCGTCAGTCACACATCTCTGGTCACACCTGGGGATCCCTGACAGTTACAAACAAGCAAAAAAACAAAAACAAAAAAAAACCCACTACTTTATTTGCATTCACAAATCCAATAAAGAACACAGAACTGCTATAGCACATTTAAAATGTGTGTGTGACAACAACCCTAATAATATCCGATCTGTGGCATTACCTGTTATATTAGGAAGGCAATACTATAGAAATGTCAAGCTTAAGACCCCCAGCTTAATAGGAGGCCATATTTTTGAATAAACAGATGACCAGGGAGCACAGCCACCAAGCCTTTATATCAGCTGTAATATTCAGTGTAATTAAAGTGACACTAAAGCTAAAAATGTTTTTTACCCATATTGCATTAAGGCAAAAAAAAACGTTTTCTTTTTCTCTGCCCCCCCCCCCCCCGTGTTAAAGGGAAGAGGGGGGGGGTATAGATTTAGTGCTGTGCACGGCTGCATCTCTTCTCCCCTCTCTTCCTCTTCACACAGCACTCGAGCAGCAGCAGGGAACCAATGTCAATCAATTGCAGTGAGAGCTCAGGAAGTGGGGGGTAGGTAGCTCAATAGAAACACAGCTCGGGAGTGTGCAGCCACGGTGTGCCTCCATAGTAGCTTGCTATGGGGACACATGAAAAAGAGGAGCCAAGATCACCGCATGGGGACCCGAGAAGAGGAGGATCAGGGCTGCTCTGTGCAATACCACTGTAGTAAAACATGTTTGTTATTTTAATTATTCTTTTTTTTTTTATACTTTGGTAACAGTTTGAGAACAAAGCTAGCAACTTGACTATTAAAAAGATAGATCATGTATAATATTTCTTGGATTTTCTGTCTACCTACACCAGGATAGTTTAAAGTGGTTCTAAAGGCTGAAAGGTTTTTTTATCTTCATGCATTCTATGCATGAAGGTAAAAAAAACCTTCTATGTGCAGCTCCCAGCCCCCCAGCCCCCCCTAAATACTTACCTGAGCCTGATCTCAATCCAGTGATGTGCCCCAGAGCAGAGGCTTTCCCAAAGATTTCCCTCCTCATTGGCTCAGAGACAGCAGTGGGAACCATTAGTTTCCGCTGCTGTCAATCACATTCAGTAAGGAGGGAGCGAGGGGCAGGGCTGAGCCACATTCTATGTATTTATGGACACACAGAGTGAGGCTTGGAAGTGAGTGTGCGTAAGTGCGTGTAAAGCAGGTTGATATGGGGGTATTAAGGTAAGGTAGCCAGGAGCGCTGACCTGAAAAGAAGAGAATCAGGGCTGCTCTGTGCACAGCCATTTAAATTATTTAAGCCATTCTCTGATTGGTATACACTCTAGTGCCAAAAGTATTGGGACGCCTGCCTTTACACGCACATGAACTTTAATGGCATCCCAGTCTTAGTCCGTAGGGTTCAATATTGAGTTGGCCCACTCTTTGCAGCTATAACAACTTCAACTCTTCGGGGAAGGCTGTCCCACAAGGTTTAGGAGTGTGTCTTAGGAATGTTTGACCATTCTTCCCATAAGCGCATTTGTGAGGTTTGGCACTGACGTTGGACGAGTAGGCCTGGCTCGCAGTCTGCACTCTAATTGATCCCAAAGGTTTCTATAGGGTTGAGTCCAGGACTCTGTGCAGGCCAGACAAGTTCCTCCACCCCAAATTCGCTCATCCATGCCTTTATGGACCTTGTATTTTGCACTGGTGCTCAGTAAATGTTGGAACAGGAAGGGGCCATCCCCAAACTGTTCCCGACAAAGTTAGGAGCATGAAATTGTCCAAAATATCTTGGTATGCTGAACGCCTTAAGAATTCCCTTTAACTGGAACTAAGGGCCAAGCCCAACCCCTGGAAAAACAACCCTACATCATAACCCCCCCCCCTCCACCAAACTTTTACACTTGGCACAATGCAGTCAGCTAAGTACCGTTCTGCGGGAAACCACCAAACCCAGACACATCCATTGGATTGCAGACTGAGAAGCGTGATTGGTCGCTTCAGAGAACACGTCTCCACTGCTCTAGAGTCCAGTTGGCAGTGTGCTTTACACCACTGCATCCAACACTTTGCATTGCAGTTGGTAATGTAAGGCTTGGATGTAGCTGCTTGGCCATGGAAACCCATTCCATGAAGCTCTCTACATCTACACACTGCTATTGTGCTAATCTGAAGGCCACATGAAGTTTGGAGGTCTTTAGGCTGTTAACTCTGAGTATAGGGAAGATGCCATGCTGACTGACACCCACTTAGTTCTACTGTAGAAATACAGGGAGCTTAAATACCACAGAAAGATTATAATTCAAGCAAAGTGAGGTACAAATGGTATAGCCAGTAATTTCCAAGAATTGTTTGGTGGTCGTATTCAAGACTTTATATATCATATAAAGAGCTGGAAAATCCAAATGTGTTTTTGTTAATATTTTACTAATGTCCAAAAGGCGTAGGGAATCACCACCCCCAAAATAGTGTGCAGGGGTTGTGGACATTTTTTAAAAAACTACTTGTCCAAGGACTAAATCAGGGTTCCAATCTAATTGTCCCCTCATAACAATCTATTTGTTCTGATGATAAAAATGTTTTCGCCAGTTTGGAAAATATGAAAAGTTGATTTTTTTTTTTTTTAATTATTAGGCAGAGGTGCTTTTAGGAAAGTCTGGGGCTTTTAAAAACAAAAGGAGCTTTATGGCGACTTAAACTGATAGAAAAATTTCTTAAAACGCCCAAACATTTTTTTTTCAAAGCAGGAGGCCCTAGAGAATAAATTGGTGAGTTTTGCATTTTTTTATGTAACACTGTAAATTGCGCAGCAGTTTTTCAAACGCAATTGTTTTTTGGAAAAAAAACACTTTTTTTCATTTTAATGCAAAAAACACATTACTAAACCCAATTTTAGTAAAATATAAACGATGATGTAACGCTGAGTAAATAGATACCACACTTTAAAATTTGCGCATGCCCGTGCAGCGGCAACAAACAACATAAATTTTACTGTCCAAAAGCCATACTTTAAAAGCCGTTTACAGGTTACCACCTTAGATTTACAGAGGAGGTCTGGTGCTAGAATTGCTGTCCTTGATCTAACATTCTCAAGTGATGTATCATGTGTGGGCCGAATGCTGTTTGCTTGTGTGCAGGACCGACGCATGCATTCGACTTTGCATACATGGACAGGGATGCTTTTAAAAAAATAATTAAATTGTTTATATTTAACACTGTTGTTTTAATTTTTTTTTTTTTTTCACTTTTATTGCTTTCACCAGGAATGAAAAAACAAAAACATCCCTTGTGACAGCAATAGGCAGTGACAAGTGCTTTTTATTGAGCGATCTGGGATAAATAAGACCCCAGATCCCTCCTCTGCCTTTAAAAGCATTTGATCACACAAGATCGGTGTAATTAAATTCTTTCCATTATTAAAAATGGTGCTGTTTATGTCCAGGGAACCTGGAAGTATGCTTTTATGATCAGTTGGTAGAAGCACCATATGGTCGATTGGGTGTCCTGGTGTGACGGGACAGCCCGTGGAAGGGGGATGTCCCCTCTGCCATTTGTAAAAAGCGATCCAGTGGCTAGTTTGCTGCTCAGATTTCTGTTAAAAGAGAGCCGACCGTTGGCTCTAATTCCTGCTGCTTGCCCGCAGCAGGGATAAATGTAAAGAAAAACCTCTTGCCCGGTGCCCGGAACTGCATGTCCCGGGCATCAGGGCTATAGGGATTGCACATCCCTGAGTGTTTGTGGTGGTTTTTTACAGTAAGAGTCCTAAAACAATAATAAGAGTTTCCTGATTCACTACTGGTCTGTGTTCTGCATGTATGAGTACTTTGAGATTACTAAAATACTTGTTACATCTGCTACCAGGCCACAGGCTGTGTCCCTCAACTATAAATCTAACTGATGC